CTTTCTTGCTGTCATACTCCCTTTCCCTTCCTCACCAGGTCAAGTGTTTTCTTCACCTGTCTCCAGCTCTTGCCCATTTTCTTAACACCATTTAGATTTCCCTTCTTTCTCTTTAATTTACAGCCCTTTATCAGTGTTTTCATCACTCCTGCATTCAGAGCCTCGGGGTCCCAAACAGCCTTCTGGTTCTGCAGGTGCAATCCTATCCATCTACAAGGCACATAGGCATGTGTCTATTACCCTGGGAACCTTTCAGCAGTTTACAACATTGTTTCTATGACAGAAATGTATTCTGGGTGTCAGCTGCCTACCCAGACAAACTTTTAGGGTATGGCCAGGTTGTAATTTGGAGACATGCATTATATGTTCAAAGGAATGACATAAAAGAACTAGATATTCAGTGTGAATATTTGCAAAGATGCATGTGAATCATTGGAGAAATAACGTCAAGATCCCAAGAGGGGTTTCAGACCGAGGATCATCTTGTTATTTATGACTCAAATTACAGTGTATTTAGTGGGCTGTATCTCCCCATGAAGGCTTTTTGTTTAGATGTCAGATATGGGCTTAGGACACTAAAATCATTGTGTAGATTTGAAATGAATTTTTAAAATTTATTTCATTTTTGCCTGTTTTGAAATAAGCCATAATTATTATCTGAGAAGCCTGGAGTATATTTATAACAGTTTTCAGAAGGAGTTCTGAAACCATAAAAAGCTTTTTTGTATGGGAGGAGGGGGTTTTAAGAGAGCAAATATTTATTTCACTGGCAAGTAAAAAAACATACATATGATGCTAAATTAAACACTTTTTGTGTGCTTTATATATATTTTTATTGAAGTATAGTCAGTTTGCAATGTTATGTTAGTTTCTGATGTATAGCATAATGATTCAGTTCTTTATATATTCCTTGTCACATTCTTTTCCATTGTAGGCCATTACAACATATTGAATATAGTTCACTGTGCTGTACAGTAGGACCTTGCTGTTTATCTATTTTATGTATAGTAGTCAGTATCTGCAAATCCCCCAAATTAAGCCTGTTTGACACAGGACCCCCTTCACTAGAAGGCACCTTTCAGAATGTAATTTGGTGTTCGAGCATCGTCTACCACTGAGCATACCCTCCCCCTGCTTATGACACATTTTACCAATTTTCTGTCCCAGAGGCAGCTCAAACCCCAGCATGGCTGGCACAGAGCAACCCTCCACAATCTTCTCTCCTGTTGTGCGTGACTGACGCCGTCTTCCATCTACATGTTTGGTCCAGACACCAGGAAGTCACTCTTCACACAGTCGCTTCTTCTCACATCCAGACACATTTGTCTCCTCCCCTCCTCATCTGCCCTCCTCTGTCTTCCTGGGAGTCCTCATCATCTTTCACCCATTTTACTCCAACAGCTCATCTGCTCTCTCTGTCTTGAGCCTCGAGCCTCTCCACCTGTCCTAAACACAGCTGCTAGAGTGGTTTTCCTAAAGGAATCCGATCACATCACTCCCTGCTTAAAATTCTTCTTCCCTAACTCCTCTTTACCTCTGGGCTAACATCCAAACGACTTCACCCAGCTTGTAAAGCTCCTCGACGCGTGAGACTGGGTTCTATCTCATGTTCCAGCAGCTAGGAATCTGTAGTTGTGCTGTCTGGTAGGGTAGCCACTAGCCAGAGATGGCTTTTTTAAAATGTAGTTTTCAGTGAGTTGAAATTGAATGAAGTAGAAAAATCTCAGCCGCCCTTGCCGCATTTCAAGGGATTACTAGTCACGTGTGGCTAGTGGCTGTTGCACTGGTGAGAGGGAAATACGAACGTTCCCATCGATGCGCATCGATTCCGTCAAGGCAGCACTGGCTCTGTTTCAGTCCCGCAGCCGGTGCGCAGTCCGCTTAGGGGTTCCAGCACCAGGCGCACTCTCCTCTTTCATGCTGTTATTTATACTCTTCCCTCTCCAGTGTCCTAGTGATCCTTCTCGTAGCTAAATCCTACGCACGTTTACCTACTTCCCATCCCAACCTGGGCTGGGCCACCTCCCGTGGATTCTGTAGCCCCCTAAGTGGACTCCTTGCTGAACATGCATTGTTGTTACCTGTTTTCTTGCCTGTCTTTCCACTAGAGTAAGAAGTCTTTGCTAGAGTGAGAAAACTGATGTCTTTTAATGTCTAGTACTCTGCCTGCCTCATAGAAGGCACTTGGAAACTAAGGGGGGAAAAATCAAACATGAAATATCCACTGAAAATGTTTCCTTTGGGGGCCTGGCTGATGTTTGTAGTGAACATTTAATGTTTACATTCAAGGAATTATAAATTGCAAGTTTGTCCTTTTTTGATCTTTATGTACCTGGCTGATCAGTTTATCCTAATGTGCTTAATTCTCTTAACCAAATATCTTTAAAACCCAATATGAAATTGAGAGATTGAACTATTGGGGAGTAAGTGACATAAAGTTCTAACTTGAAGGAAAAAATAATGTTGATTTGAAAAACCTCTTAGTGCAGGATGAATTAGGTATGAACATACAACATAGCTATTTCAATAACATTAATTATTTAGATTCCAACATGCTGTGTTGTAAATGTCCTGTCCTTAATGTAAGGGGACTAAGTACATTGTCATCACTCTTAACAGTTGAGTTCCTGACATTTCAAACGCAGCGTGCAGCCCGCCTCATCACTTGTGTTTATTAAGGAGGCAGAGTAAAAGCAAAAAGAAAATGGACTTTTTCCAACTTCAGCTTATTTTTAAATGAATGATTTACAATTAATGACGGCACAAAGCATTGCTTCAGCTGTTGGTTTTTTATCGTTTAACTTTACCGAAAGAACTAACCAGTGCGTCATTTAAAGTGTCACTAAAGACATTTTCTGCTTTCAGTTTTCACTTATTCGTGACAATTCTATGGAGCATTCAGAGCTCTGGAGCTAAATAAAAAGGTAGATTCTGCCTGAGTTCACTTTACTCTTGCCCTCTCCTCTCCCCCCTCCACAGAGTTGTTCTTTTTTAATTTTTTTTTTACCAGATGCCGCCACTTTCATAATTGGAGAATAGCACATTCATGATTCTTGGAATTTTCATAATCTGTTTATTAAGGTGACTGCTGATGTGTGTGTGTGATTATGGAAGTCACAGAGCAGCGAACGAGTATGGGTGTGCACTGGGGGAAGGGAGGATACGTAACTAAACTTCAGATTGAAGACCTTTATTTAAAATAGCACCTTGAGGTCAGTCAGGTGAACTTGCTGGAGTGTGTTATTCTGATTGGTAAGCGCCAGCCCAATACCGAGACAGGAACAGGCCTTCTTTACTTCTCACATTAAAAATACCTGATGTTTTTCTGAACGATTCCATCTACAGAAGCTCTCCTATTGCTGTATATAGTCCTGCAGTGCATTTTCCAATCTGTGCATGAGGAATGTACACAATAATTATGCCAGGACCAATTCTGCACGGCAGCCTGTGAAGCAGGCCAACTGCCGACTCTAGTTTTCTTCTTGTCGCAGAAAAGGCACAAAAACAAAAAGCCACAAGCACCTCAGGGTTCCGGTACCAGCGAGGAATAGACCAAGTTATACCAGGGTGACAAGCTCTGACATCTCGGCGACTTCACCAAGCAGGTGCTCTCTTCCTCATGCTGTCTGTGCACAGGCCGGCGTAGCGGTGCGTGTGCAGGGCTAGGGGGCGGCTTTCTACTCATGGACACCTAGGACCACGGCGCCGACAAGCTTACGCGATTTGCCTCGAGTTGTTACTTCAGATAAAAGTCTTCAACTTGGAGTCAAGTTATTTTTAGTTATTTATCCTCCTGCCTCCGATGTACACGCATACTCGTTCGCCGCACTGTGATCTCCGTAATCATGCACATCACCGGTCATTTTAAGAAACAGATTATGAAGTTGTGTAACTCTTGGCTGTGCTAGTCTCAAGTGATGGAACTTGGGGGAAGACGGAGAAATGCAGGCTGAACTGTGAAAATTACACTCAGCTCTTCATCACTCAAATTTTCATCTCTCTCCAGACACGGGATTTTGTTTCAGGACTGTAGCTACCAAATGTAAAACAGAAACGACCCCTGGAAACTACTCAGGCTCCATCATTTTAAAACGAAATCGTATGATCAGGCGTGTCACTAGCTAAGATGGGATGACTTTTTCAAAAACAAAAATCTTATTTTCTCCCAGAGGTTCAGTAAAAGAAAGAAAAGAATATAGGGCTGGGAGGAGCTGACTGAGATATTCTCTAAATAGACCCACACAGTGTCTCTTGAGTAAACACCGTCCAGCCAGGCAGACTCCTGCTTTAGTGTCACAGCAGCACCACCTTGGGAAGTCAAGGCATCGCCAGATCCATCATTATTTTCCTAACAGTCTCCTCGGGGCCTGACGTTTGGGAGGATGGCAACAATCAGTTATGCACAGAAACAGGCATGAGCGTGAACAGATCAATTGTGTGCTAAAGTATTATTCGGTGACTGGTTCCAAACATCCTTACCCCCAAATATGTGTTCAGAAATAAATCAATAGCAGCGCCTCCTCTCTATGAAAGGAAACAAAGATAAGTTATTGAAAAATCAGTGTGTGTCAGGATTATGCTAGGCTATTTCAATGTAATAAATTACCTGTTACTCGTAAAATACTTTTAAGTTTGATATCATTATCCCCATGTTGTAGAATACTAAACCAAAGCTCAGGACATGAAAGATCGTTTCTCAGGTCCCCAGCCAGCAGGCGACGGAGCCAGGGTGTGGATCCATGCCCATCTCCACAGGGACTCTCCAGGGACCTTTGTGTGTCCTGGACATGCTCACTTTTGAAGATCCCAGCTCACATTATTTCAAAGAGGTTAAAATAAACCGCTCCCCTCAAACATAATTTATCTATTACCAGGTCTGTTGAGTTGCAGTTGGTAAATTGAAGTAATTTTCTGGCTTTAGAACTTAACAAACTATGAGTTGTGGTCTTATAATTACAAATCGTACACCACATAGTTTTTTTGCATTTTGTCTTTTTCAGAGTGCAAACTGTCTTGGAGGCTGTTGAAAAGTTCCTGGTTCTCCTGTGGTAGCTGTGGTGCCCACCAGACACAGCAGCCTGAGAATGAGTGTGAGGTTCCGCTCCTTCCACACCAGCAGCCTGGGTAGGTTTTTGTATCTTACCCTGAACCTCATCTTTAGCACTGTATTTACATCATGACCAAAATGCTTTACTTGAATCTTGCTTTACACAGTAATTTGTTTAGCTAAATGTGAGATACTGCATCTCTTACTTCCTCTCCATTTTCAAGGCTCGAGAGAGCACCATAGAATTCCTTTCTGGAATGCAAGAGGAAGGAGACTGTCTTGCAATTCCCAGTAGAATCCATTGCAGGGTTGATGCTAACGATCAGTCCCAGCGCCTACGAGCAGGACCTAGTCAATGGACTCCGCAAATTGCCCTCAAAATTGGGGGGGTTCCGAAATTCTACAACCAGACCTTGGGCTGAATAGTCTCAGGTGAACGTTCCTCTCTGTAGGAAGGTTCAGAGAAGAACGGCCCACTGTTTTCAAGGAGGTGAATTAAACTTAATACAGATTAGGTGAGAAGAAAGATGGGATGGTATAGAAAGGATATTTGGGCTCTTTGTCCTTTTATTTGGAAGGAAGTGGAAAATGCCAGTTGTGATCACAGCTGCTTTCTCAAAAGGGGGAGATGTATATGAAGGGTCCTTTAGTTCTGCTGGCCCCTTGGAAGTTTTAGAGCTGGATTTAGGGAAAGAGGCTCAAGAGGTCTAAATTGCTTACAGAATAAAGAATAGTTTGAAACTTTGAGGGAATGGAGAGACAAGGCAGGAGAGAGTGTGTGGGAGAGGCATGAAGAGAGAAAACAAGACAGGACCTAGTATGAGCTGGATGTGGTGTGAGGTTGGGGTGTTATAGGTGTGAAGCACCAGGATGGAAAGACTGAAGTGATTTTTAAGAGCTGGGTACCTAATATTCAACTTGAAGTTGTTTGGTTTGTGTATATATATATTTTTATTGAAGTATAGTCAGTTTACAATGTTGTGTCAATTTCTGGTGTACAGCACAATGATTCAGTCATATATGAACACACATATATAGTTTTCATATTCTTTTTCACCATAAGTTACTACAAGATATTGAATATAGTTCCCTGTGCTGTATAGTATGAACTTGTTTATATATATATATATAAAAACATATAAGTTAGTATCTGCAAATCTGGAACTCCCAATTTATCTCTTCCCACCCTCCTTCCCTTCCTGGTAACCAAAAGTTTGTTTTCTGTGTCTGTGAGCCTGTTTCTGTTTTGTAAATAAGTTTGTTTGGCTTTTTTTTTTAGATTCCACATGTAAGTGATAGCATACGGTATTTTTCTTTCTCTTTCTGGCTTACTTCACTTAGAATGGCAATCTCTAGGTCCACACATGTTGCTGCAAATGACATTATTTTATTACTTTTTATGGCTGAGTAGTATTCCATTGTACAAATGTACTACAAGTTCTTTATCCAGTCATCTGTCCATGAATATTTAGGTTGTTTCCCTTTCTTGGCTGTTGTAAATAGTGCTGCTATAAACATTGGGTGCATGTATCTTTTTAAGTTAGAGTTTTCTCTGGATATATGCCCAGGAGTGGAATTGCTGTATCATATGGTAAGTCTATTTTTAGTCTTTTGAGAAATCTCCATGCTATTTTCCATAATGGCTGCACCAGAATACATTCCCACCAACCATGTAGGAGGGTTCCCTTTTCTCCACAGCCTTTCTAGCATTTATCATTTGTGGACTTTTGAGTGATGGTCATTCTCACTGGTGTGAGGTGATATCTCATTGTAGTTTTGATTTGTGTTTCCCTGATAATTAGCAGTATTGAGCATTTTTTCATGTGCCTGTTGGCCATTTGTATGTCTTCATTGGAGAATTGCTTGTTTGGGTCTTCTGCCCATTTTTGGATTGGGTTTTTTTTTTGTTATTAAATTGTATGAGCTGTTTGTATATTCTGGAAATTAAGCCCTTGTCAGTCACATGATTTGAAATATTTTCTCCCATTCCATAGGTTGTCTTTTCGTTTTGCTTATAGTTACCTTTGCTGTGTGAACGCTTATAAGTTCAATTAGGTCCCATTTGCTTATTTTTGCTTTTATTTCTGTTGCCTGGGTAGACTGCCCTAGGAGAACATTGCTAAGATTTATGTCAGATACTGTTTTGCCTATGGTTTCTTCTAGGAAGTTTATCATGTCTTGTTTTATGTTTAAGTCTTTAAGCCATTTTGCGTTTATTTTTGTGTGTGATATGAGGGAGTATTCTAACTTCACTGATTTACATGCAGCTGTTCAGTTTTCCGAACACCATTTGCTGAAGAGACTTTCTTTACTCTATTGTATGTCCTTCCCTGCTTTGTCAAAGATTAATTGACTGTAAGTCTGTGGGTTTATTTATGGGCTTACTGTTCTGTTCCATTGATCCATGTGTCTGTTTTTGTACCAATACCATGCTGTTTTTATTACTGTAGCTCTGTAGTATTGTCTGAAGTCTGGGAGGCTTATCCCTCCAGCTTCATTCTTTTTCTTCTCTATTGCTTTGGCAATTCTGGGTCTTTTGTGATTCCATGTAAATTTTAGGAGTATTTGTTCTAGTTCTGTGAAAAATGTCCTGGGTAATTTGACAGGGATGGCATTAAATCTGTAGATTGCTTTGGGTAGTATGGCCATTTTAATAATATTAATTCTTCCAACCCAAGAACATGGGATATCTTTCCATTTCTTTAAATTATCTTTAATTTCCTCAGTCAGTGTTTTGTAGTTATCCACATATAAGTCTTTACTTCCTTGGTCAGATTTATTTCTAAATATTTTATTTTTTTGGAAGCAATTTTAAAAAGGATTGTTTATTTACTTTCTTTTTCTCATATTCCATTGTAAATATAAAGAAATGCAATTGATTTCTGTATGTTAATCTCGTATCCTATTCCCTTACCAAATTCTTTTATCAGCTCTAGTAAGTTTTGTGGAGCCTTTAGGGTTTTCTGTATATAATATCATGGGGCTTGATAGGTATCATGTCATCTGCATATAATGACAGTTTTACCTCTTCTCTTCCAATTTGGATCCCTTTTATTTCTTTTGCTTGTCTAGTTGCTGTGGCTAGGACTTCCAATACTATATTGAATAGGAGTGGTGAGAGTGGACACCCTTGTCTTGTTCCAGATTTTAGTGGGAAGGCTTTCAGCTTCTGACCATTGAGTATTCTGCTGGCTGTAGGCTTGTTGTTTTGTGAATATAAACCAGCCCCACTTTCCATCTCTCCAGATCTTTAGTTAACTCTCTACGTATGCATATCTATCATGTGTTTTAATGGTTTATTTTGTGAAATTGAGCAGAGTTGGGGTTGAGATAGTGTTGAGGAACAAAGCTTTCTTGAGAGCATGTAAAAAATTTCTTAGCATGAAATAGTTCAATACAATTAGGACATGAGAACTAAAAGCAAACTCTGTTACTAAGAACTAGTTGAAATCTTCGTGAGAACTTTCAAATTCCACCAGATGTGAAATAAGAATTCAAACAATCTTTTGAAGATCTTAAGAGATACAAAATAACACTAGCCTAGATATTTGTATTAAATTTGTGTTTTTCTTGGTACATATGTTATTACAATTTAGAAAATTAAAGGGTAAAATAGCAAAATTGTAAGCATTTCTGTACTTTTTAAAAAAATTGTGATAAAATATACATAACAAAATTGATCATTTTAACCATTTTTAATTGTACAGTTTAGTGGTATTGTCTACATTCATATTGTTATGCAACCATCATCACTCTATTTCCAGAACTTTTCTCATTTTCTCAAACTGCAACTATATACACCAGACAATAGCTGCATTTTCTCCTCCCCCATCCCCTTGTAAGCACCATTCTATTTTTCTGCCTCTTATAAATTTGACTATTTTAGATACTTCTTATAAGTGGAGTCACACAGTATTTGTTTTGTTTTGTTTTTTAGACTGGCTTATTTTACTTACCATTAATGTCCTCAGATTTCATCCATGTTGTAGCATGTATCAAATGTCCTTCCTTCTTAAGTCTGGATAATATTCCATTGTATGTATATACCACATCTTCTTTATCAGTTATAAATTGATATTCTTTATCAACTATCAGTGGACATTTGGGTTGCTCTATTCTTTTGCGTATATGTTATTTTTAAACCTGCTCTCCTTAACCTAAAATACGGAAATCTTTCTATTAAAAGTTCTTTTCTCGGCATTGTTTTATACCTGTTCACTGGGCCATTTTTGCTTATATCATAGTTTTCATAATTTATAAAACTGTCTTAATTTATAAAATCCATCTTCAGAAATCTACCTTAGACAGGGTAGATTAAGTTACAGTCAACACGTAAATTACATTTTCCCCATCAAGGTAATTAGGAGAACTTCAATATAGAACTAGTAGGGGAAGAAGAACCAATGCCTTTGAAGAAAATACAATTTTAAAACATTTTCTTCTATATTTATAAACGTGTGCTTTAAAAAAATGATTTCTCAGTTTATATTGGGTACTGCTGATTGCCTTCTCAGCCTCCAATCCCTCCCCATATTTCCTCTTCACAGAACCCCAATTCTGCTCATGTGCCTTCAAGTCCCACACATAGCCTCTGCATCTCATGAGAATCTCCTCCTTTCCCCGCTCCAGGAATGGGTCCTGATGATCAGAGCCTGATCCTTTCAGGTGTAAGTCAATCATAGCACCATCTGCTGATTATTGTTACTGGCCCAGGAATAGGTATAGGCTTAGGATGAAAGACTTCTGTTTTCTCTCTGGATATAACAAAGGAAGTAAGGATTTTTCTTATAGCAATGAGTAGAAGAATAAACCCATGGATTAAGCCAAACTTGTTGACAACATAAAAGATCATTGAAAAGAAAACATTCGTGATGATGTCATGGAGTTACTGAAGCAGTCAACCTGGAAATTAGCCTTACCTCTCGAAGTCATGTGACAAGAAATTATCTGACACTTTTAGCCAGTTTTAGTTTGGTTTTCTCAAAGCTGTCGAAGCATCTTAGCGACATACAGGCATATTTTGCTGGATTCTTATAATATAGCTCTGTGAGGTAGGTAGCACAGATATGATTATTAT